CCTCTGCTCAACCCCATAGCCGGCTTCAGCTCACCTAGTGCCACTGGGGGAGTCCCAAGGGGGCTGCCCTGCACAGTCCCATTGGTGTGCTGCGAGTTCCAGAGGCCCGAGAGCTTGTGAGCAGACAAAAATGAGCTGGGGTCCCAGTCCCCTGAGTTCCCATGGCACGAAGAGGAAGAAGACGAGGAGGAGGAAGAGGAGTGTGAGCCACCCCCACAAGACTGCGACTTGCAGGATGTGTGGGATAATGAGACCTATCAAAGGAAACACAGAATGAAGTGGCTGAGGGGACATCCTTGGCCCTCAGGTGTCAGCACCAAGACTCCCTCCATTGCAGCAGGGGCTCAGCTCATGTGAACCACTTTTATCATTGTCTTGGGAATGCCAAACACCCCCTCCATCCAACACCAACACAGGTGGCTCACAGAGGCTGGGCCATGCCAAGGGCCAGATGCCTGTGCTGGACCCACTCACACCAGGGCAGGGTTAAATAAAGCCAGGCATGAGCCAGCTCCTCTACCCGAGTCCCATGCACAAGCAGGCACTTGCCCTGGCAGCCGCTGCCTCTCTCTGCGTCATGAAGGGAGCAGCCCTGGGGCTGGGGGACGCGGCACAACGCGCAGCAGAGCGGGGCTGGCAGGAAAGCAGTGGCACTGTCAGCCTTGCCAGCCTGGCAGCCCCAAGCCACGGCAAGCTGCTTGATGAGCCTCCACAGCACCACGCACTGCCCCAACAGGGCCTGTCCCTGCTGAGCTGGAGGCAGCACTGCGCAGGGAAGTGAAGGCTGGGATGTCTGCGACACTCAGCTCAGGGTGAGGATGGGACCCACACACCCAGTCAGTGCCACAGGTGGTCAGTGCCCTATTCCTACAGCTACAGCCCCGGCTCTCAAACCCCAGCACCGTAACCGCGTACCGCCAGGGCCTGCTCCTGCACCGCCCGTCGCTCTTCCTCCTCCACGCTCTTCCGGCAGCTCTGGCAGATCCACAGTGGCATTTCTCCCAGGAGGTTCTGCACAAGCGTTGGCACAAAGTCTGGTGGCAGCCTCTCGCCTGGGGAAACCAGCCCATTGTGGGACGGCCCTCCCCAGTCCTTGCGCTCCCGGTGACAGAGCAGGCAGCACGTCTGCACGGACTGGTTGGCAGTGGGCAGCACCTGAGGAAGGACACACAGACTGTGAGTCACGGTGCAGATGTGGGGCAGACGAGACAGTGAAAGAGACCTCAGGACGCTGACACCAAACCAAGGGAATTCTTAGAGGCTACATGTGGTATTACACCTTCTCCCACTGGAGCAGAGCAGCCTCAGGCTGACCAGCTGCTGCCAACCTGCCATGTGCTAGCTTGGGAGTGTTTGGACTTCTGGGAAGATCACAGCATGCCAAAGAGACAGCCTTGTCACCAAGCAAAGCTGGAAGAAATCAGCAACTCCCACCATCACCTCTGGTACAGTGAGACAGACAGCACTTGCATAGCAAAGCAAGACCCACAGAAATCCCACACAGGGACATGAAGGGTGGGTCTGACAGCCTCAGCTCTCCCTCCTTCCCCATCAAAGATGTCCCCACTGTGTCAGCCAAGAGCCCCAAGCCCTCTCTCCTGCCTCTTTGTTCTGCACAGCCAGCGGTGCTGATGCGCCAGGGTGGGGTGCAGCCCCCCGTGCTGCTTCACGCTGTCCCTGCACAGGCACAGCCAGGTTGGGGCTTCCCTGCAGGAGCTGGGCTGCATCCCTCGGGCTCGCTGGAGCCCTGACAGCCATGACGAGCCCGGCGTGGCGCGGGCGAGGGGGCCCCCATTGTCTACCGGCGCAGCGGGGCCCTGCCACAATGAGCCGTGCATTTAACTGCTGCTGCCAAACAGATGGCGTCTGCAGCCTCAAGGTGAAGCAAAGGTCAGAGGCCAAGGAGAGCAGAGTGGGGGCACAGCCCCCCTGCCCACCCACGGCGAGGGGCGAGCAACCGGGCCACCCCGTGTGCCAGCTGACACAGCTACCATGGCGGGTGACACCACGGCTGGCGACACCGCGGCTGTCCCCAATGCACCGAGCACATCCACACCCGCGCCCACCCCCGCCTCCCTGCCCACGACCCGGAGCAGGTGGCGGCAGCCAGGTGTGTCCAGCGGGGACAAGCGCGCTGAATGAGGATGCTGGAGCCACCTGCCATCGCCCAGTGGCAGGGCTGTGGCAGGGCTGTGGCAGGGCTGTGACAGGGCTGTGGCAGGGCTGTGGAGGGGCTGTGGCGGGGCTGTGGAGGGGC